AATGGAAGCAACCTAAGTGTCCATCAACAGATGAATGGATAAAGAAGATGTGGCACATATATACAGTGGAATATTACTCAGCCATAAAAAGGAACGAAATTGGGTCATTTGTAGAGACGTGGATGAACCTAGAGACTGTCATACAGAGTGAAGTAAGTCAGAAAGAGAAAAACAAATATTGTATATTAACACATATATGTGGAATCTAGAAAAATGGTACAGATAAACCGGTTTGCAAGGCAGAAACAGAGACAGAGATGGAGAGAACAAACGTACTGACACCAAGGTGGGGGGAGGGGGGGAATGAACTGAACTGGGAGATAGGGATTGACATGTACACACTAATATGTATAAAATAGATAACTAATAAGAACCTGCTGTATAAAAATAATTTTTTTAAAAGAATTAAAAGAACAATTAAAATCCAAGAGAAAAATTGTCCCTCATCCCATCCCCTAATTAATTCATTTTTATTTGTCTGTGTTACTATCTACTCTTGATCCATACACTTAATAGATTTTTGCACTTTCGTAGTAATACTATAAATAGAATTTTATGTTCATTTTAAGTTAATGTAATACTGTATCTTTTCCCCACAATTCTTCCGCCCCTCAACTTTCCTTTCCCACTTTCCCTGTACCTCCTACTGCGTACTCTCTACAACCAGTGTCAGTGCCAACAGCACTGGGTCCTTCCTCAGCTGTCTCGACGCCCATTCAAAAATATCCTGCCACATTCACACACAAATGGGATTCTCTTCTTGCTATCGATTTAAACTTTTTTTTTTTTTTTTGCGGTACGCGGGCCTCTTACCGCCGTGGCCTCCCCCGCCGCTGAGCACAGGCTCCGGACGCGCAGGCCCAGCGGCCATGGCTCACGGGCCCAGCCGCTCCGCGGCACGCAGGATCCTCCCAGACCGAGGCACGAACCCGCGTCCCCCGCATCAGCAGGCGGACCCCCAACTCATTGCGCCACCGGGTAAGCCCTAAACATTTTTATACAGCTTTCTTTTTTCACTTAACAACACATCGTGGATGTCTCTCTAGGTCAATAGGCAGAGATTCAATGCACGCTGGTTCGAGCTGTGTTAACAGTCTGGACAACGATCAACCGCGTTGCTCCCAGAACCCTTCCCCCTCCACACAAACGCTTTTATACATAACTTCTTTACCGTTCCTTTGACTTCTAGAAGATTCTCAGAAGAAAGATTTCTGGGTCAAAGGTGACGCACATTAAACATGTTAATTAATTAATTTATTTATTTTTGCGGTACGCGGGCCTCTCACTGCTGTGGCCTCTCCCATTGTGGAGCACAGGCTCCGGACGCGCAGGCTCAGCGGCCATGGCTCACGGGCCCAGCCGCTCCGCGCGCGGCATGTGGGATTTTCCCGGGCCGGGGCACGAACCCGTGTCTCCTGCATCGGCAGGCGGACTCCCAACCACTGCGCCACCAGGGAAGCCCCATTAAACATTTTAATAACTATTCCGGGATTACTTTCCCAAAGGGCTCTAACACTTCACATTTCCATCAGCGACGCTTGTGAGGGTCCCTGTGCCCCCAATGGCCTTTAATATTCCATCTTCACTCAGCAGGGGTGGGGAGAAACGGCTTTTATTTTTAAAAGGATATACCCTTTCATGTTTAAAATAAGGGATTCACTGCCTGCACTGAAAAGAAGGCTAACACTTAAGCCCGTTTTCCAATTCAGCGTGATTGCTTTCCCCTGGCAAAGCCCCTGTCCCTCTTCCCAGTTTCCCTGAGCGTCGTCTAGAGTCCGGCTTCCGCGACGCAGCCCGGCCGTTTGCAGGTGGGCGTTCCCTGCCGCGCCGCCTAGCGCCGGGGGCAAAGGTGCGGGGTCAGCTAGCCGCGCTACTTCCCGAGGCCGGACTCTGAGGGGGCGGCGCGCGCTCCCGGGCGGCCCCACCCCCCTCGTCCAGGCGAAGGCGCTTCGAGAACGCCGAGCGCGGCCCCCAAGGCTGTGGTGACTCTTATTCTTTCACCACTTTGAGGGACCCGGCGACGAATCCCCGGGACGCCAAAGAAGCGGCTGCGGACTTCCGACGGGGAGGGCGTGAGGCCTAGAGCCGCTGGGGGTGCTGGGGCCGGAAGGCGACGAGCCCAGCTCAGCTGTGGGCCGGGGGCGTGGCGACGCCGGCTTCTGTTTCCCCCCAGGCCCTGAGGAGCTTTCGGTTTCATTTCCGGCCGGCGTCTCCACCTCGCGGGAACCGCCCACGCCCCTCCAGTCCCAGGCTCGACGGCCATGGCTCCCGACGCCGTCCTCCGTGAGGTGACCCAGGCGCTGTGCGCGGCCGGGGGCGCCTTGGAGCTGGAGGAGCTGCGGCGCCGCTTGCGGGCGAGCGTCGGCGGGGACGTGCTGGAACGGCTGTTGCGGGAGCGCGGGCGCTTGGCGGTGGCGCGGCGGGCGGCCGGGGACGGCGCGGCGGCCGTCGAGCGTCTGGTGCTGGCCGTATCGCCGCTGCGCGTGTGCGGCGCGTACCAGGGCTCGAAGCCGAGCTGCGTGGGGCTCTGCGCTCAGCTGCATCTCTGCAGGTTCGTGTTCTACGGCAAGTGCAAGATCCTGAGGGACAGGTAAGGCGCCGCGCCCCGGAGCCCGACGAGGGGAGACGGCCTCTTCGCTCCCAGCCCGGTCGTGGCCCTTCGTAAATTCGGGGGCGACAGTGAGGTGGCTGTTCCCTGGCCTCTCCCCGGAATTCCCGTCAGCGAACATTTATCGAGCATTTACTGAATACCCGGAACTGTGCGCCGGACTCCGCGTCGAGCGGTGTCCTCTGGGTCCCTGCGGTCTCGGAGAGCGACTTAGAGCCCAGCAGGGGGTGGGACTCCCTGGGAGGGGCAGTACCGGGGTGGGGCTGGAGGGCGTTGGCCGAGGGAAGAGGGAGGGAGCTCCAGAAGGGAAGGGGCTGCGGCTGACTTCTGCTCGGAGCTCCAGAGCGCCCCGGGCCCCAGAGCTGGCCGTGAGGCCCCACGCGGAGGCGGGATCTGTGCCCAGCAGCCGACGGACTCTTGTGAAACCTTGCTTACAAGCCGGCAGTGGCTTCTGCTGCATTTAGAATAAAATGCAAGCTCCTTACCGTCGCCCCTCAGGGAACTGGTCCCTGCCGTCCCTCCATCCTGGTCCCCTCCGTTGATGCCCTTCTGGTCCTGGAACACTCCCAGTCTATCTCGTGACCTCTGCTCTCCTGGACCGCCTTTCCTGGTTTGCCTGCTGTATCGTTCAGGACTCAGGCATCACTTTTCTTCCTCTCCATCACATTGTTCCGTTTACTTTTCTCATAGCACCCGTCATGGCCGCGCATTCCTTCAGTAGAACTGAAAACTCGGAGAGCAGAGGCCCCTCTGTCTTGGCCCTGGCTGGCCTTTTCCGGCCCTCAGCTCTGTGCTCTGCGCCTGGCAGGTGCTCAGTGAGATTTGTGGAGTGGATTAATGAGGTTAATGCTAAAGAATTTGGACCTCACCCTGAAGGTGATGGGGCCCGTCAAATGGCAGGCGGGTAGCCATCAGGTGTGCGTTTGAGGAAGAGATCTTAGTGGCGCGGTGCTTATTTAGAGGAGGATGTGATGCAGACCTGTT